TACGGGACTCTACGAGCTACATTCCCATCTAGTATTGGACTCATTAAAAAATTAGTAACTAATAACACAGGCACACAAAAAAATGTTTTTCATATACTTTTTAACAGAATACGATACTCCCTGTATTTTGACCCGCTGAAGACTATGAAGCCATCTGAAATGTTTCCATCACGTCAGGATTTTTCCTTAACCTCAAAAAATTATTTAAAATCAATGGAAATCTCGATTATTTGTTAAAATAGTTAAGATTTTGTACACAGTACACAGACGCGAATGGGATTAAAATAAATACTTTTTATTCCTGCACTTTTTTCTCTAAAATACCTCCTTGTGGAGTTACAGCCATTTTTGAGCATTATTAAAATGCCCATAACTACCTAAGAATTGTAAGAAATATTAAAATAAAATCCGGAATTCCAATAATTTTATATTCACTTAATATTACAGTTTTTAATAGCCCGACAATTATGCGACTGTTCGTAGTTAAATCTGCAGTCAGAGTGTTCCTTGTTTCTCCTCTCGGTGGTGGTCTAGGTCATGGTCTCCTATTTGTTTATATTAGTTGGCCCGGCCAGCGCGGCGGCGAGATCGGGATATGCAAGAATCAGCATTTCTGACAGAATGCATTTCAAAAAAGAAAGTGCAATAAAAAGTTTTTATTTTCTGATGACCCCATCGTCTTCAGCCGGTCAAAATACAGAGGTGTATAATACTCTGTCAAAAAGCACATGAAAAAAAATAGAAAAAATTGTATGCCTTTGTAACTAAGTATACAAAAAAATTAAAATGAAATGTTTAAAAAATAATGAAAAAAAAAACATAAGCATCTGTAAGGTGACAAGGGTTGTAAAAGCACCACCGAATTCAAAACAACTACTTTAGTTATTCAGCATACAGCTCAAGTTATAGGTCTATCTATCGATACAGTAACGTAGGTACTGACTGAGACTGAGTAATACTTCTTTAAGCATTTCTAGGGTCATCTCATTATAGTTTATAGAAGCCTAAACGCGCATTCTGCAATATTATACCAACACGTCGCCGGTCGGTCGTCATGGTCAAGCAAAATGGCCAATATCTGCTACATACCTGATACGTTTACATTCTCAAATTATGCAATCATTCAGATCATCATCGAAAATTTGCTGTTGCTTAGTTTCTCTTCACGAAGTATGAAGTGATTATATTCCTATTCCACCCTTTGTGAATATTCTTCTGTAACTTTTTGTACGTTTATTGTCTAGTATCAATGGGAACTTCCTCGAGAGACCCAGGAAGTTCTCCGAAGGAATTCCAAATAATTTTGGCCGTTCAACTTTGCAGGTAGAGCGATAGGCCCCAAAATAAAATTAAAATTTTCTATAATCCCGCACCAGACGTTAACTGAAAATTCGTGTTGGAAGTGATCCTCTTTTGTTGCGTGTTTATTTTCTTCGCTCCACATGTGAGAGTTTCATCTGTAAAGGCAATTCTCCCGAGAAAAGTGTGATCGCTATTATGTGCAAATTTTTTACAGGGTGTAAATTAAAACATTGTAACTGCTGCGTATGGAGTATAGTTAAAACAGTCATAGAAGATGGCCGCAAATCTTCTGTGACTGCTCACAAACGATGAATACTAATTTCGAGATTTTCTTCTACTCTTTCTAGAATTTGTTCATCGTCTTGTACCCTTCTTTGAACGTACCTTCCATTTCTTGAATTAGAGCGAAAGTTTCCAGTTTCTCCTAATCTGGTGAATAAAGAAGCAAACAATGTATGAAAAGACTGTCTGCGATTCGGATAAAGTTCTTCATATGTTCTCTTAGCAGCGTGTCTACTATAATGTTCCTGCACATATAACACTGTCTCTCATTTCATAATTAGTAAATTCATTGTGACGAGGCATTTTTAGAAACAAATTTTTGCAAAATACAAACTTGACAGTGACGTCGAAATAATGTCATGCTGTTATGGATACGTACCTATCTACTTATTCCCAAAAAATATGAGGTGTATTAATAAATATTTTCTGTAATATCTTCATAACCGGGCATAATTTCGACTTTTGATAGATATACATTTTTTGTGTAGAATAAAATTATCTACCTATTTCTGACAGTTCCGTGTAAAAATATAAACGTACAAAAAAGTTACAGAAGAATATTCACAAAAGGTTGTAATATGATTTAACCCAATAGCCCCTTCGAGCATATACTCCTAGAGACAGCCATCAGTGCTGAGAAAGCGCGACTGGTGTGCGAGAGAGAAAGGACAATCAAAGGACATGCTATCTATCTCGCTTCCGCTAGCTGGATTGGTCGGTGCGTGCTCCCCTCCATGCCAATGATCGTTCTGCACCTAAGCCCCGACCAATCAGCTCGCGGAGCGAGAGACATATCATGTCCTTTTATTCTCCTTTCTCTCTCGCACGCCAGTCGCGATTTCTAAGCACTGAAGGCTGCCTCTAGGAGTATATGCTCGAAAATAGGAACATAATCACTGCGTGAAGAGAAACTATGTAATATTTTTTGCTGTTGCTTGCAAATTTTGCCCAAGTCCGTTAACTGGGTTTTGAATTAAGGATAAATAAAATAGAAACTTTAACACCCTGTAACTTTTTTTGCGACAATTTTCGTTGAAGCAAGTTTGGTTAAATCGACACCATTTGGGTTCTTGATTATACCCTTGAGGTATGTAACATTCGTTAGATGACACCCTGTGTAAAAGGAATATGCATATTTTGCACTTTACTATTTATCTCATGAGATTATCGAAATATTGTATAGGTATTTTTACTGTCTTAAAGTCTTAAAATATACAAGTTGTAACTAAAATACTTCGCCACATTTTAATGGCGGATTCTACGGAACAAAGCAACAAAAATGTTCCTATAACCATGTGTTAGAAATCAAGACACAGATTGTTATTGTTTGGTGTGTCACTTTCAATTTTAATTGTCCACAAATTTGTTGCACATGGAGCGTAGTAACTGCTTATATCATGTCTAGGTAATTATTGCTAATAGAGTCAAAATATCGAATTATCTTTTAAATAAAAATTATTATTATTGAGGTAACCACATTACCTTATGAATAGAATTAAAATAAATCACGTTTCCTCATTAATTTTGAACATCCCGTGTATCAAAATGAAGCGTGTCCGGACACATATTTTTTATTTTCTCTTGATTTATGTCGCAGAATCCCCTATTAAAGCTTGTTCAAGCATTTTGGTTACACCCTGTATATTTTTTAACTTCTTTGATGATTACATGTTTAACATGGAAAATTATATAATTTATAAGTTATGTAATACTCTGTATAACCTACCAATCGACTTTGAAGTGATTTGGAACGATCATAAAGCGTTGATGTGTATGTCAGTATAAGTGTGTTGTCCTAAATTAGTGTCTTATTTACATCAAGCACGATGTAGTCGTTACCAACTGTTTTTCAATATTATTTCTAGCCAAGTAACGCATCCTCACATTTTGGTATGCATATTATGCAATTATCTACAGGTATTCTTTCAAATAAAATTTTTTTCTCCATTTTTGACTTTGGATAGCTAAATTTCATTAAATCCGAAATTTGTAACTCCAAAATTTGTAACGCCAAAAATTGTGGAAGACCCATGCATAAGAAATATTAGAACACGCCTTCTACTTAAAAACTGACCAAAACTGATATGTAAATTCTGTAAAAGAATTGTGCAGTATATACAGGATATCTCGAAATTGACGCCCGTGCTTTTAAGGTTTGATTCAAGGGGATAAAATATATCACTCACATTTAAAAATATATAATTGTTAGCATATGTCACAAAATATGTTCGAATTGGTCCCTTTTACCTCAAGCTGAACGTTTGCACGATGGACTATAATATATTTTTATCCACAACAGCGTAAATATGAGCTGTAGCATCTTCTTGATTGACAACTGGTTCACGGTAAACTTGTTCCTTCAAATAGCCCTAGAAAATAGTTTCCGTAAGATTCAGAGCTGGTGATCCAAAGGGCCATGATATGGGCCCACTTCTTCCAATCTAAATATCGGAGAATTTCTTATTTAGAAAATTTCTTACTTATGTTCTATACTGTGCTACTTCAGTTATTTATTTTAGAAAGTAATCAAATTTATTTATTTACTCATCCAAAACAAGAAGTTGTAAACGGAATTTCCTGTTGGGTGGTGTATAAAATAAAATAAAATAAAAATAAAATAAAAATAATTACAAAGCACAATTAAATATACACGTTGATGTTACAATACTCATGGCACGCAAAATATAGCTATATATAAAATAATAACAATAGCAAAACAGTAATAACTAAATTGAAACAGAATATTGCAGAAGGAGGAAACTTAGAAGGATAAAGAATAAAAAAATGAACATTATATGTACTTAAATGAAGCAAAATTGATTAAACGCCACTAAAAAAGCCAAGGAAATAGTCTTAATCGTAAATAGTCTAGGAGATAGTCTTAATCGTAAATACAAACAGACAACATTAAATTTGAATATAGAGAAAACAGAATCATTTGTTTAATGAATTACAAATTATCCGCTAGCAATAAACAATTAGCCTGTTACCTTTGGTAAATCATTAATAAAATATGAAAATAATACATCCCCTAAGTTAGAACCTTGCGGTGCTTCATATTAAGCATCAAATGAATGGGCGATCTTTTAAATATTATGTTAATACTTTTAGTACATCATGGGATAGGTACATTATCGAAAGCTTTTTGGAAATCAACATCTATCTTGTGTTCACAGGATATTAATAAATAAAAAAGATTTGTCGTTATTAATATTTATACCTATAAAATATCTTCCTTGATATTTAAAATTTATATTGATTTATTTTTTCAAAGAAATTGCACATGTACGGGTATTCTTAGAATGTCGTCAGGTTTGTGCTAATTTACAGTACCTACTTCTAGAAATACACTATAAAAAATATACTATAAATTTTTTATTTATTTACTTTCTGCATGACGAACGATTACATTTCAGGGTAATAGTGTGGCAAGCGACTGCTCTAACTGTAAACCAAAGCAAATTAGTAACACCGGCAGCAATCACAACCTGGAACCTTTCTATCTGCATCCACCACTGAGTGACAGATCCCTTGAAGCAGCCCACGCCCCAGAAAATGGACTCTACGTTAACCCCATGAATTCCCACAGGCATAGGTAAATATTAACAATTATTGTAGATTACGGTACAGAGCATTTCCTTGAGTATTTTGAAATTCTGAGAAGATCTCTCAAGATTTTTATTTGTATATAAACATTTTTCTTAAAATATCCTGTTATTGACATACTAGTCTTGTAGCTAGGGGAGGTCCCAATTGCCTCCTTCATTTAGATGGAGTTACCCAATTGTTTTTTGTGTATTTTGAGCTGCAGAACACGAATTTTTTGGGTAGAAGTTTGCCCGGATGTCGAAGTTTTTTATTAACAAAAAACTTTCAAAATACTGAGAAGTTAGTTTTTGGCTAAACAAAAAGCATTTTCCCATTTTAAGAAGAAAATGTATCTTGCAATTATTTTGTTAAACGCATAGTTTTCGAGATAAACGCCGTTAAAAACTCGAAAAATACAATGCAATATTCAATTGTTAATAACTTTTGATTGAATAGGTATTTTATAATTCTGCTGACGGCGTTTGAAAGTTCACGTTAAATACTACAAATTATGAGTAATTGCAGTGTGAAAATTTGTTTTTTCCACTGTTATTTGAAGCTATAAACAAATAGCGATTGAACGTTCAGAAGGGTGCGCCGCCATGTATGTAAGAGAGCGGTTGCCTTCTTACAGGCGTTTAATACACGATCTTGACGCATACTCTTCATTTCTAGACCAAAGAAACGATGAAAACTAAACGAAACATTAACAATTTAATGAAAATTTGCAATATTACAATAATTAAAATTAAAATTTGTTTGACAAATAATGCAAAGATCTGATTTAATTAAGCTATTAATCTGGTAACATTAACGTTACTAATTCTACATCTTCAGTGCAATTTTGAAGCGCGACTACAAGTTTTAAAAACAAGAAAAATAATATAAATTATCTTTCAAAAGAATTATGTGATGTTATTTGTAACATAAATGGTGGCTTTTGATGCAGATCCATCCGGGAAGTGAGGAAGTGTAACGCTAAACTAGAGCAACTTCCTTTAATTTTTCGCATTGAAATATCAAGGAGAACATGCAAACATCAGAAAATGTACCTTTCCTGTTTTGTCCAGCAAAGGACCCCGCACAAAATATATGGAAAATGGTCTTTCGGTAAATCTTGCTGAAATTTTGCAGAGATGTAGGTTTCAGCTTGCTGAACAAAAGTCTAAATGACACCAAGATCAAAAAACCTCACCCAAGGCCACTGTGCGAATTGAAATATACGAAAAAACGTATTTTGTTGAATCTTGCTAAACACAGGTCAACATTTGATCCACAATGAAACACCCAAAGCGGTCTGGCCCTTGTAGGGCTTTTGGGGTCGCTGATTACGATGAGTAGCTCAGTTAAGTTTCATCACATCAGTTTCAAGGTCATTTTAAGGTCATTTTAAGGTCATTTGAAGGTCAAGTAGAGAAATAACCGTCAAAAAAATTTGAAAAATTCATATGTATGTTTTCGAAGTCCCTAATCACGAAACCGTAGTTCGTTTGACCCCACAGCGACTCCCAGAGATCATTCAAGGTCATGGCAAGGTCTTTTGACGGTCATGAAATGAAATAAGCGTAGAAAAAAATCTGAAAAAAATCATACATATGTTTTCGAGCTCCCTTATCACGAAACCGTAGTTCGTTTTACCCCGCAGCGACTCCCAGGGGTCATTTAAGGTCATACCAAGGTCATTTTGAAGGTCAAGTAGGGAAATGATCGTCGAAAAATCTGGAAAAATTCACAAATATGTTCCGGAGGAATATGTACCGGGGGTGACCATCGGCCATATTGGATCCCCCATCTTGGATTTGGAAACTATGAAAATCTTACTTCATATTCGCAATCAGCGACCATGCAAACCCCCGAGTAAAAAAATTCAGACAAGAATATGCTGTAGAATCATGTATTACTTAAAGGGTTAACTGACCTACTCATCGTAATCAGCGACCCCAAAAACCCTATAAGGACCAGACCGCTTTGGGCGTTTCATTGTGGATCAAATGTTGACCTGTGTTTAGCAAGATTCAACGAAATACTTTTTTTCGTATATTTCAAGCCGCTTGGGTGAGGTTTTTTGATATTGGTGTCATTGAGACTTTTGTTCAGCAAGCTGAAACCTACCTCTCTGCAAAATTTCAGCAAGATTTACCTTTGTAAAGATACTCAATAATTGTGGTTAATGCCTGTATTTACTAAAATGGTGTGATTATGTTTATAGTACGCTATTTTCTGTATATTCAACAGGCGTGTAAAGTTCAGGAAACGTAAGATAAAAAAAATTAGGTAAAAATATACTTCTTTTTCCTTATTTTGACTGTATTGTCAGTTGTGTCATACCCTGAAGAAAACACAGTACGGTGAAGAGATATCGTTTCTAACTTTCTTAGATTTCTTAGATTCTTAGATTTCTTAATTTGAGTACATTACATTTTTTTTACTTTAGTGTTCCTAGCCACTGTAGCCTTCAAATACAATTAACCTATTACCTTAACTACCGTTTCAAATTCGTTTAGGTATGTACTCACTGAGCATTTAATTCAAAATTTCTGCTTAAAAGAACTCTCTTTATTTTTTGAAGTATACATAGTTATTCTAAAACTGATTGAACAGTTTAATGTTTCTTTAGTAATTATAATTAATGATAAAATTTAAATTTTTACAAACAAACAAATACTCTATATAACCTTCAGTTCATATTTTTTTAAATGTAGGTAGCTTGTAAATAATTACTGTCGTTCACTTCACTGCTTTTTCTTTAACGAAGACTAATGTTGCAATTTATTACCATTCTTTTTACGTTAACTTTATGTAAATTAATGGATGATTGATTCTACGTTATGTTGATTAAGATGCGGATATTTAACAAAAAAAACTGAGCTCACTGTTATTATTTACTTCATGAAATACAAATATTTTTTCAAATTTAATTTTATTGTGTAGTTAAATTCAAATAGTTCAGAAAAATAACAAACAGGTTCTAAACGAAGTAGAAATTTAAAACGGCCTCAAAAGGCTTATTTTCTTCTTTTGGTCACTGTTTTTAAATGTTGTATATTTGACTCCGTACACATTATTAACTTAATTAAAAATAATTTTAAAAATTGTCATCTACTTATAAAGGGTGTTCCAAAAGTAGCGCAGAATTTGAATTGTGCGTCATTTTCATTCCGAAGAGTTGGTAGCATTGTTCAGGGTCATATGTTGTAGTATACAAGTTGCGGTTAGACCAAATGGAATTCTATATGACGGATGAACGAATGAAGTTTGTGAAAATTCATTACATTTATTACGGAGAGTATGTAGCTGAGACTGAGCACAATTTGCGTGGAATTTTCGGTAGAAGGAACGCCTTGAATGAAACAATTGTGAAAAGATTAATTGCCAAATTTGAATAAACAGGTTCGGTTACATAGAATAAAAAACAGGTCGACCTCGTACTGGCCGTTCAACCGAAAATATTGCTACGGTGAGTGATAGTGTGGCAGAAATTTCCGTAACCTCAGTGTGTCGTCGGTCACTGTAATTAAACATTTCAAAAAGCACAATGCAACAGATTTTATGAAAAGATCTGCATCTACATCCATTCAAGATTCAGATAATCCAGAAATTGAAATCAGACGACCATTGTATGCGGCGGACATTCGTTGATTGGATGCTGGAGAATCAACAAGTGGACGATGAGTTTACTAAAAAAACGTCCTTAGCGATGTGAACAAGTAAATCTGTCGAATTTTCAGCAGAGACAATCCTCGGGCCATTCAAGAACGTACACTGTTTAACCAAATAGTGTCAGTGTGATGTGGATTTCTCGCTGATGGTGTGATTGGTCTGTTGTTTTTTGAAATAGGGTCTGGAAACTCAGTGACTGTCAATAGAGAACGATATCGAGATATGCTACTGAACTTTGTGTGGCCTCACTTGGATGGTATGGATTTTGATGGCATGTGGTTCCAATAGCATGGTGCCACTTGCCATACGGCACGTGAAACTATCCACTTGTTATGGCAGAAATTTAATGGATCTCACGTAACAGTGAAGTGACAAGTTATCAACGAAATTCAACCGCAGGTATACGAAAGCGCGATACATAATTTCCTTGAAAGAAGTCAAGTATGCCAAATAAGTCGCGGTGGACATGTGTCCGATATCCTCTTTCATATTTAATGGCAAACTTTACCAAATTTTTAATTAATACGAGTAAAACCTTTTTTTCCTCATATGAAATCTTGCGCTCCTTTTGGTACACCCATTATATTGGAGTTCTTTGATATTAAATATCTAGGTATAGCAAAGAAATAATTACACAACATACATAAGCTAATAAATAATTGAATTAATTGTACTAATTAAAGTAATACGTACCTCTCATAAAATATTGCAATCCTACTTTGGACAAAGATAAACACAAACTTCAGCCAGGATACATTAACTAATCTATTTCTGCAATTTTAGAATTTATTTTTTCATTTNACTTATAAAGGGTGTTCCAAAAGTAGCGCAGAATTTGAATTGTGCGTCATTTTCATTCCGAATAGTTGGTAGCATTGTTCAGGGTCATATGTTGTAGTATACAAGTTGCGGTTAGACCAAATGGAATGCTATACGACGGATGAACGAATGAAGTTTGTGAAAATTCATTACATTTATTACGGAGAGTATGTAGCTGAGACTGAGTACAATTTGCGTGGAATTTTCGGTAGAAGGAACGCCCTGAATGAAACAATTGTGAAAAGATTAATTGCCAAATTTGAATAAACAGGTTCGGTTACATAGAATAAAAAACAGGTCGACCTCGTACTGGCCGTTCAACCGAAAATATTGCTACGGTGAGTGATAGTGTGGCAGAAATTTCCGTAACCTCAGTGTGTCGTCGGTCACTGTAATTAAACATTTCAAAAAGCACAATGCAACAGATTTTATGAAAAGATCTGCATCTACATCCATTCAAGATTCAGATAATCCAGAAATTGAAATCAGACGACCATTGTATGCGGCGGACATTCGTTGATTGGATGCTGGAGAATCAACAAGTGGACGATGATTTTACTAAAAAAACGTCCTTAGCGATGTGAACAAGTAAATCTGTCGAATTTTCAGCAGAGACAATCCTCGGGCCATTCAAGAACGTACACTGTTTAACCAAATAGTGTCAGTGTGATGTGGATTTCTCGCTGATGGTGTGATTGGTCTGTTGTTTTTTGAAATAGGGTCTGGAAACTCAGTGACTGTCAATAGAGAACGATATCGAGATATGCTACGGAACTTTATGTCGCCTCACTTGGATGGTATGGATTTTGATGGCATGTGGTTCCAACAGCATGATGCCACTTGCCATACGGCACGTGAAACTATCCACTTGTTATGGCAGAAATTTAATGGATCTCACGTAACAGTGAAGTGACAAGTTATCAACGAAATTCAACCGCAGGTATACAAAAGCGCGATACATAATTTCCTTGAAAGAAGTCGAGTATGCCAAATAAGTCGCGGTGGACATGTGTCCGATATCCTCTTTCATATTTAATGGCAATGTCTACCCTTTAAAAACGTAAAAACTTTACCAAATTTTTAATTAATACGAGTAAAACCTTTTTTTCCTCATATGAAATCTTGCGCTTCTTTTGGTACAACCATTATATTGGAGTTCTTTGATATTAAATATCTAGGTATAGCAAAGAAATAATTACACAACATACATAAGCTAATAAATAATTGAATTAATTGTACTAATTAAAGTAATACGTACCTCTCATAAAATATTGCAATCCTACTTTGGACAAAGATAAACACAAACTTCAGCCAGGATACATTAACTAATCTATTTCTGCAATTTTAGAATTTATTTTTTCATTTGGTTTCATAAAAATGTATATTAACATAGAGGATGTTCAGAAGCAAATGGTCTATATTACTTGGGTAAAAATAAACCAATTTAAATCAAGTTACCTTATATATACTCCGCGGTCGAAATTATAGAGAGTGACTCAGACATAATATAAAAACACTATTACCATAATGCGTATAAAATATAAAATGATTTTTATACGGTTCAATATTATTTATCTTTGTGACGCTCGCTAAGCACATCGATATAATCTTCTATAGACCGAGTTACACTGAACGTCGATCTATTTTCTATCTCTGTCTTTTGCACTTGGTAGGGAATAGGGATATGTTTTTTTAGTGGGTGTAAACGGACTTGATTTACCCGTCCTGAGGAACGCCATAGCATAAGCGTAGGCGAGGGGTCTAATTCCATGGCTATAATAAATTTATAAATTAAAAAAACACAACTGGGACGTTTTAAAATGCTGTAATAATTAAAATGAATCAAAGTGCCGGTTATAGCAAACAGTAAAAAAATATTAGATGTTATGTTTTATCATCTTTTTTCAACATTTTCTATATCTTGTTGCCTTTTACGCAGACACGCCAATGAATTTTCGTTCCCGGCACGCTTCATCCCCCTTACTAGTCCAAAAGCTAGCGATGAGTCACTCTCTATAATTTCGACAGCGGAGTATAGTACAATACTACAATTTCCCTAAAAAGTTATTGTTCCGCAAGAAATTTTTTTATTTCACTTTTTTAAGAACTACGTTAAGTTTTTGGAATAGTTAAGTACATTTTAAACAGTCTCCCGTTTTTTTGTCATATTTCTTTTACTAGAGATATTGAGAAAACGCCGGTAACTTTTTAAACTGCTCTTTAATTACTTTAATTACGTGGCATAAAATGACCTTTTCCAGAGAAAAGTGGATTTTCAGTGTTTTATTTGAGTCGTCAGTTTTGGATTATCAGCCGAGTATTTGTAGCTTTTCTAATCCGAATAAACTTCATCTTTTTGCTAAATTTGCAAATAAATATTTTTACGTTTTAGACTAAATCATCTCGATTTGAATGTAATAAGTAGGTACCTACTTACGGTACTATATTCAAAGAGTCATATCTCAATATAAAGTGACTTTTTAATAAAAGCAGTCAAAATCGTGAAAAATATCTATTAATTTAGCAAAATAACTGCAATAAAAACTGAAATCCATTTTTCTCCGAAACAGTGGATTTGGGAACATTCACCAATAACACTTTTTAAGTTAGTTTAAGTAAATATAGTGGTATTTCAAAAACATTTGTATTTTCTCAAAACCTCAACTTAGAAAAAAAGATTTTCCAAAAAATAAAACATTGTTTAAGGTGTTCTTAGAATCCTTAAGGAAATGACAGAGTTACATTAAACGGTTAAAAAAGGGATAAAACATATTTTTTGAAAGCTAAAAACTTTTAAGGAAGGAATATTGTACTGGGGAAATTTTATTTAAAGTGGTTTATTTTCATCTTAGAAAACTACATTCGAAGCATCTCGAAGCATCGCCCCGATTCCGAACAACCTGTGCATTTAAATATTAATAGATTTAATATTACATGTAAAATATAAAACTTAATATTATTATATTTAACATATATATAATTTTTAGTGCTTCTAGCAGCTCCGGAAGCAGTTCAAGTGGTGGAAGTGTCAATGGAGAATCCTTTTATTTACACAACCCTCAGGAGGTCATTTATAACAGAGTAAAAGACTTGTTCGAGTCAACCAATCAAAGACAGTCACTCTCGGCCCTGACTGGTAAGTTATGTCACATCCAATATTTTCTTTATGGCGGATTTAATATTTCCATCTATTATTTATTTTGCTTTGAATACATTGTGGTTCTAAACATGCAAATGTTAACAATATTTTAGTAAGTATATTTTTGTAAATTAGCTAAAGTGCATAAGTTGGACCATATCTCAATTCAAATATATTCTGGTATTTTTTTAATAAAGTCAAAAATTTTTATTAGCTGTTCAGATATTGTACAACATATTGCATGCTGTAAATTGTTTTAATCTGATTTAATTTTTGGTTACTAAATGTACGTCTATATGTATTATTTATATTCCTTTGAGATGTACATACAATACATACCACAACAATTTGGTAAATACTTTGGTTTTAGATACACCTTGTTTAAACAGAATATATAAAATTTTCCTTTATGTATGTCGATGCAGATCCTTATTATTAGTTATTATAATGTCATAACATCATCATGGTTCATTAAGTAATTAGTTGTACATGAACTTATTCAACAATTTAAATATTCTTAGAATGCAAATTGATTACGCGGATTAGTATTTCCATTTGCAGTTTTCTTTGGACATACGCTCAAAATAATTGCTATTATTAAATTATTAGTATTTCTTTAAAAGAAGATAAAGGGAGCCCTAATGAGAATCAACGCGATTAATATGTAAAAGGACATTTGCGCTGTCTGAATGTAGTGTATGTACTATATTTTTAAATTTCATTCCGTTTTTAAAGACAAGTATGTTAAAAAATTATCCTTAAAATGGTGATTCATATACAAGGTATTTAAAAATTACTCAACATCGCTGACTTAATAACAATTTTGAAAATATCAAATTGTTTTTTTTTACAATGGTGGTGATTATAATTACATACAAGAAATTGAAATATCAACCAACAAAGTCCTACTATCTGGAATTAAAGGACCATGTTTATTTATTTGTACATGCCAATTCAATTGTAAAATTCATAAAAAGATTAATCATTGTATATATAGCGTGATTTTTTACCTGACACTTTAAAATATCTCGAAGCAATCTACAAAAAACGTCCATAATCAAAATTAAATCATTCCACGGATGAAATATAATTGTGCTAAAATTAGTCCCTCTCCCCTCTACTTGTAGGTGGGGAGTAACATTGAAATCTTAAATAGGAACCCCCATTTTTTATTACAAATTCGAATTCTACGGCTAAAATTACGTTGGATTTGTCTGAAACATTTTTTCGATTCTTCGGCGCTGTCATTGAGGAAATTCATTTTTTTTTTCGATTTTTCTTACTGAGAATCTATCCATAGGATCTGGAAAATGAAGTGTGACAGAACATTTGGTTTCAACATGATGGTTGTCCAGCCCAACATTCGGTGGTAGCACGTGAAGTACCTACCTCGTGATGGTGCCATTTCAATGATTGCTGGATTGGTAGAGCTGGTTCGATAAATTGGTTTACTAGATTTGTAGATTTTACTCCGCCAAATTTCTTTTTGTGGGGCTATCTGAAAGACAAAGTTTGCAAACAAGAACCAATAATACGTGAGAATATGATTGAGCGAATCAGAAAAGCTAGTATCGAAATTCAAGTAGTTGTGTACCTACAGTCATTTGACATGCAGATTAATTAAAGTGCATTGAAGTTGAAGACTATCATGTTGAGCACTTACTTTAATTGAAAGATGATCAGGAGAGGAGACTCATGTAAATCAAGCACACTGAAAAGTGAAAGGCGAAGTACCCTGATACGTGAGAGCGGAAGGGACCCGCGTTAATGAAGCACCCCGTAGATAACCAGCCATTTACATTTCTACAGGTACTAATTACCCAGTTATTCGAAATTTGCAAAATGAATAAACTTATTTGATACGAATATTCCAAATAAGTACATAAAACGTAGTACTTTTTGTTGTGAATTTCGTCGATTACTTCAATAAAAAATGGAGGTTTCTATTTAAGATTTCGAAATTACCCCCCCGCTTCACTTACAAAGAAAGAGGAAGGGGATTTTTTAGCACTAATGTATTCCCTCCGTGGAATGATTAAATGAGATATTTGATAGTTTCATGTTAAAAAATTCACCCTGTACCAGATAAAAAGCGTTAAAGGTAATAAAACCCGTGCCATTCTTTACAAAACAAGAAATGTGTCAATATTACTTTTACTATTTTCAACAATATTTCTTCCAAAGAATTAACTAAGTTTATTATTTAATTTGTTGTGTTTTAATAAATGTACTGATGAAAATTTCATTCGAGTTTTGTCTAATATTTTCTTACTCAGACTATCAAGAAATGTTCATTGAAATTTTGTATTTGATATTAAGTTCCGTTGCTTTGAAATAGATGTCCCACCGGTAAAAGTAAAAAGCCGACAAATTCTAACTACGCAAACAAAATAGTTACATTGCGATCTATACATCAGTATTCTACAGAGCAGAGCTGGGTAATTCCTGGTGAAAAAGTAATTAGCAATTACAATTCCCTTTTTTTCCTGTAATTGTAATTGTATTTATGTACTTTTTTTTATTAAAGTAATTTGGAATTGTAATTGGAGTAAAATTGTTATAGGAATTGTAATTTGTATTTATATTATTTGAACTATCGAATTACAAATTACTTCTATAAGTACAAATACTTTTTCCAATTACAATTACTTTTTCTAATAATTATAATTACTTTTAAGATCATGCGTATTGCGTAATTGCGTACAGACTTGCAGACTTCTATTATTTCATTTGAGGAAAGCCTTGTGCCGCGTGAACAATAAAAAGTGATTTGGTGAATTAACCTCAGAATTAACAGAGTACATTTTATTTTATTATAATTATTATTAATTTAGCAAAAAAACGAAGTAAAAATATGTTGTCTATTGCATCAAGTTTTATAAAAATATATATTATGTATCTATGAGTTACTGCTCTTATTTTGAGTTGAGAAAACTTCTGGTTCGGTTACTCATCCTTTCACTCGTACTTGTTCGATTCGTAATTTTTTTTATAATAATTATTGCTTTCCAGTCTACCCAAAACTACTGTATTCTATATTTTGCAAATGTACTAACAACCAAAAAAAGAGCATCTGGTTGAATTAATTACCTGACCAATAATATAAAATTATAGTATGAACTGAACTAGTTTAAATTATTAGATTAGGAATAAAAATATAAAAATTCTATATCATTAAATGAATAAGAATAATCTTTTCATTTTAGTATCAATTCTAATAAATAATAAAACGCAATATTACACAACACTTTTAATTTAAATTTTTAATTTAACTTTTTCCTTTTTCTCTGTTTGGTCACTATAATTTACTTTATCATAAAAGTAATTAGAAAAGAAATTAGAAAAGTAATTGCTAAATCCATTTTCCATGTAACTGTAATTAAATTAATATAATTCCTTTTTTAAAGAATATACTTTGTAATTGTAATTAGTTCCTTTTTTTTAAAAAAGTAATTTGTAATTGTAACTATTTGTAAATTACAAGTAATTACCCAGCTCTGCTACAGAGCCTTCATAAGTGTTTACAAGCCACTTGATCGGCGAGCTTAGGCAACCCAATATTGCACAGTTGGTATTGGTAACGAAAAGTACCTAAATCTTGACATCACCAAAATTAATGACTCCTTTACAGTGAACCATGACAAACCGTTACGTCTGCACTCGAGATAATACGATCGCTGATTGGTTGAATAGAATTTCGTGAAAAATTACACCAGTCGGTGCAACAGAATGTTGCGTTTTAATGTGATCTCATCGTTTTAAAAAAAATTTATTTTCCCGAAATTTAAACAAACAAAATTACTGATCACGTGGCATCTACTTAATACGTAATCCTAATAAAAAGATTATATAACATTTTCTTTCACTTGCAGCTTCTAGCATCGTTCTCTTTCATAAAGCTACATACAGGGTGTTTCAAAACGTACGTCAAAAAATTAAGGGTGTGATTCTTTGTCTCATTCTCAGAAAAAAAGTTTATATTAACAAGGGTCCGCAAACGCACCGTTTTCGAGATATGGGATGACAAAAAGAGATTATCTTGAAAACGGTTCGAGTTAGAGCTTTTGCTTTCAATTTTCCAAGAGTCGTAAAAATTAGGAGCAAAAGAACCTCACGCAATCCTAAAATCTCCGCCACTGTCATATGAATAAATATTGGATTAGCAGTCGAAAGTAGCTAATATTAATGGTATTACGTGTACAAAATTTGAGTTCTGTATCTCAAAGGTTCCTGAAATTTCTTGAAATAACTGTAAAAACATTTTTCTGTGACACCCTATATCTCGAAAACGGTGTGTTTGCGGACCTATGTTAATAAAAACATTTTTTCTTAGAATGAGCCAAAGAATCACATCCGTTATTTCCCGACATATGTTTTAAAACATCCTGTATATGTTTTATCACATTTTTAAAGTTCTCTGTATTGCACACCCATATAGTTTACATGTGCCCAGGGTGATTAGTTCGTTCTTGGTCGCAAAAATCCCAAATGTTATAAAAGAAACGGTGGTACAATTTTCACTATAAATACGTATACGAATCTATACGAATTTGTTAGACGAAACGATGTTTCAATTTCTAAGTAAAAGGACATCACGAAATAACTTTCCACGCTACACGTTAACGTTTCAGAAGTTTTTACTTTCGTTTTAAAAACGATATGTTTTTTTTACTAACATTATCAAATATACCTAACAGTTACATATTCGGATGACATATACATATAATGTATTATTATTTCGTCTTTGAACATTTGTAATTAGCACTGCTTAAAATTTAAAGAATTACATAAGCACATACGTTTTCCGTTTAACAAAACAATTAGCTTTTAACCTTTATAGTTTTCTTTTTGTAGTTGGGAAGTTCCGTTTTGCAAGCAGTTTCTAATACCATCTTATATCTATCGGAGTTACATAATTAATTAATACTAGATCCATGTCCGATATACATATACTAAACCATTCTAAATATATACAAATTTTCAATTTGTTTACGGAA